AAAAACTCCGGCGGCGGTGGTCGAGGAGGTGAGGAATCTCCTTTTCCCCTTTCTCCTCTTCTTCTTATCTCTCTTCCCTTCTCTCTCTTCACTTGAGTCCCCTTTGTGTAGAATGAGGGCTCTATTTATAGTTTTTCTGGAGTGACATAGCTCGTAAATAGGCGTGAGATCAGGGGCGAATTGGGAGTGTTTTGAATGGACAGCCGATATCGAATCCTTTGATCATGCACCGTTCGTTGGGCATTTGAAGGCCTTAATGATGTCGTAATTCGGCGATCTTGGGCTCGTTGGATTCGTCTCGTCGATCCGTTCGATTCGAGTATAAGCTCGTCAAAATCGGAGACCGTTTGGTAACTCAAATTGCGGTTTGAACCTTCCAACAGCGCTTTGAGCCCTTGATTCGGACTCATTTGGGCTCGGATTGGGTTGATCTTGGTGTCGTTGGGCTCGTATTTCTGAGACGCTCAGTTTGAATATAAGCTCGCTGAAATCGGAGTTCAGGTGCTCCCGGATTTAATTTTTGAAGTTTCCGGCCAACTTTTTGCCTCGAGATTCGTGCCCGATCAATATAAATTTTGCATGACGTATCATATATATATATATTGCGTCGTAGAATATTCATGGCGATAGAGAAATATAAATTTTAGCATCCTAGCTTTGTACGATGATTCAGCACACAAACAGATGAAAGATAGGGTGTATCAATTATAATGGACACCTGGATTTTTATGTGAAAATCCCAAAAAAAGGGGGAAAAGTCATGGTATTTGACCCAATTTGAATGAATCCGCTAGTATTTGCAGTTGATTACAAATCCTTGGGGGAAAGGCCATAGCTCAATGTATATATTATATAGAGCATAATACATAGTTGGAGAATAACATAACATCTTAAGAGAGTGTTGGCATATTTGTTTGGTTAGTAGGACAATTATCGCTAGACTAGTATATAAGCATAATTTAATTAGTATATTATTTGAATTCACTATTAGAATTGTTTATTTTATTGAACTTTTAGCTCGCCTAATATTAAACTTAATCCTATTTTACGAAAAGTAAAAGATAATGTGGGGCCTGAGTGAGGATTGAGGAAATACCACTGCTCAATTGATTTACGTTGATAGTTAAACTCCTTTAATTCAAGTTGAACGTCTCAATGGGATAAACTCATCAACATCAAAAGTAATATGGTACAAGTTCAAATGAGCCCAAATCCAATCTTTAAAGTATGGTTGAAAACTTTGGGCATTAATTAAAGGATCTAACCATTATCTATTTTTATATTCTTATTGTTAAATCAAACATCTCAATTAAAGGAATCTAATGAGTCTGAGATAACTCGATTCCATGGTCATCAATCTTGAAAAGAATAGTATATGATCAATCGAACCAACACATGTTGTTGAGTATAGCCTCTTGATCAGCATCACCTAACTACATTCTCCCAACAATCGCTAGTTGACTATTATCTCCTGACCACCTTTGCTTGACTGACTCTCATCACCATTACTCGATTATCATTTTCTAACAAATATATCTCACATATTTCATCTCAAACAAATTAATGCATGTCATCACCTACATAAGGTTGATGTACGTCTTGACACCATTCTTGATACTCACCAATTTTGTCCCCAGTAGTTATCAATAATGTTAATGCATTGTATCACCTATATGACTGATACATGTCGTCAACACACACCATTGCATATAAGGCCAATGCATGTAATTGACGCATGTTATTGCCTATATGGTTAATGCATGCTGTAACATCAAAGCCAATGCTTGCTGACTTCAACGTCTATCATCGCTCACAATGTCGATGCATGTATTACTAATAAGATCAATGTATGCTAGCGACACTAAATCTGTTTCCTAAACATAACTAATGAATAGATCACAAACAATCACTTGAAGGCAAGTTTAGTACCTGAAGACTCTTTCAACTTATACCATAGAATCTATCATCAATAATTCATGCCAACTATATCAAGTCAATGTCATCCTGAATTAAGAAGAGGAGCATCATTTATAACCTACGACATACCATAACGAAATCATCTTGACAGACCAAGCCTTATGATTCTTTTCTTTTCTGAGTTTGTCATGCAAAAATTTTAGTCTCTCACAACTTTCTTTTTATTTATATATATCTTAGATTTTCACACAAATTAAGATGCTAAGCTATCTCACTCTACTACCACAAATACTTTAGCATGCAACACCTTTTGTTTGCTCTTTTATCTTGCAAGAATTAGGGGTGTAAACGAGTAGAATCAAGCTCAACCCACTTTCAACTTGAGCTTGATAAATTAATTAAATTTAAATTTGAGCTAGCACTTGCTCGAAAGAAGATGATTCTAATTAATGATGACTATCATATTAAAATAATAAAAGGAATGATTTATGTAAAAAATAATTAAAAAAAAAAACAATTAAGATAAGAAATAGAAATATAAATTCTAATATATTTTAAATGGATTTCACCTAAATTTTTTTTTAAAAAAAATGAATTAGCTCGTGAGCTAAAAAATCGAGTTTAGACTGTTCAATTTATTTATTTATTATTAAATTTGAGACTGGATCAACAAGAGAGCTCACAGCTTATGTTGATGCCAAGTTAAAACATTTAGGACCCACAACCAATTCCAACTACCTCCTTTGGCTCATCATCCTCACAACTTCCACTTGAACAACTTAATTCTAGAAGCCAAAGCTCAAAAGGAGAGATTATTCTGTGCGAAAACCGGATGCAGAACGCCGTCCGGAGACTAACTAGAATGCACCATATCAGCTGTACTGAGCAGTACCAAGCCGCAGTACCGAGCACAAGAGACATGACGCGTGTTGATTAATCTCCGGACAATAATTTTTTTTGCTCAAAAGCCATTGCAACATCACCCTCCATCAGTAAGGTTTCCAATAATTCCAGAAGCAATTACAAAAGTATCATTAAAAAAATAACCAAAAGAAAAAATATATGTACATAAATTGTAAAGTACAAGAATGTAATTACAAGATCAGTTGAATTTTATATAAATCAATTAGATCAAACGATTTGGAGTTATTTACAAGTATCTAATAGGCCAGGAGAAAGGGAAAAAAAAAAGAGCAAACCATCTCCAGCCATCACTAAATCTAAGTGTACAACCAAAATCTTAGCAGAAAGAATGCCAAAAGGTGAATCTGGTTATTAAAAAGACTAGCTACTACTCACAAATCTGTATCTGCTGGCTCTAACTGTTCAGAAGCCTTAGAGAACTCTTTGTCTGCATAATGCAAAAGCCTTCTGAGCCTCAGTAATATATCACAATGAAAAGGCAAAGCAGAGCGCCTCTCCAAGTATAATGGGCTCACAGTCATCCATGAAAGTGAATGTAGCTCTGCAGCTACTGACTCGAGGACCAGATTTGCTTCCACCTCATAATCTCTTGAAACAGGCTCCGGCCCTAAGCTCCTGCCTTGCTTAGCAGCCATGGCGCTCCCACCACCACGGCCGACCGCCACCGCCAACTTTTCTTGACCTCCATAGTGATCGACGAGGCCGACAGATAGAATGGAAGGGCAATCTTCTTTAATGGGCTCAACAAAATCTTTCCTTGGGTTTGGGATTGATTTGGAAACTACAAATCCAGTGGACTGTGGAATTGCAGAGCCTTTACTGTGTAGGAGATGCGCGAGAGGCGGAGACTCCGACGTCAAGCATGTCGGAAGCTGTAGGGGTGAAGGTGGTAGGAAGCGCATGCTGGGAGAAGGAATCAGGAGATAGGAACCTGGCATTGATCCAAGGGACTTCACAGGACTGAATCCCTCTAGATAGTTAGAGATGCCTGAGCTGCTGCTGTTGCTTTGTCCAACACCTGTTTTTATGATCAGAACAGTTAAGTCACTTGAATGTTAGATGAAATGCAAAATATCTGAAATATTTTATGAGCTAACGTTAGAAAGTTGTCTCCTGATTTCCTATGGATGAACAGTTCAACATAATTGCATCACAACATTATCAGAATCCAATTACAGGTTTCCTTTTCATATCTCAAGATGTCAAGATAAAGTGAACTGTTAGACCAGTCCATTGGACCGGTCCACGCGGGACAGGCCCGTGCGAAAGAGGCGGAGAACTCCGCCTCCCCTGTACGCAGCGCGCAAGCTGCCTGATTCCAAGGAGCATTTTGGGAAGGTTTTTGAAAGGAGTTTGGAGGGAAATTTCAAAGTAGGGGTTGTTTAGAGAATTCCTTTTAAATTATATGCATTAAATACTTTGTTTTCCTAGGGTTAGGACATCTTGAATTTGGCTAAAATTTGAGATCTCCTAGATTTAGTTTTTCTTTGGGCTCTAACGGCGTCTAGAGATTTGGGAGATATCGATCCTCCTCTCGAATAGAGGATCAATTGTATCTCGATATTTTCCGTTTCTATTTCATCAAATAATACAAATTATCTACTGATTTTGTGCGGTTTTTTTGTGAAGAATTTTCGCTTTTTTCGAAGATTGATAGTAAATACTTGAGATCTACTAGTGTTTCCTATCATGAACTTACCCGAAGAAGATAAGTCTGAAGGAAGGATTAGATGCAGAGTGTGATCCATTGAAACAGAGACTAAACTTATGCTTCTTGCCAACTGTAGTAATCCCCTTGAGCTGTCCAATCCTGCCTGACCGGCTAAGATCTGCTTTTTGGCATTAGTTTGCCCAAGACCACCTTTAATAAAGCTAGGCTTAGCATGGGGATTATACAAAGGACTAGGTGAAGAAGGCAGGGCCCTTTCTTGGATCAGACTTATTTCTTGTTGCTCGAGAGAAGCTCCACTATTGTTTAAAACACCATCCGGCGCAGTCCGTCTAAGTTGTACAGGCCACTTCTTGACATCATTCCCACCAACAGAATAAATAGCTTTTTGCCACTCTGTAGAAATAAATAGCTTAGCAGTACATATAAGTAACAAAGTCCTAATGCATTATACAAAACAAGTTTGTGAAGTTTTTATACCTTGGCATTCAAGCTCAAAGTAACATCCAATACGGGTAATTATTATATCCCTTAGCCTGCTACCTGAATCCAAGGAAGAACTGGATAGTATTTGACAGCTGTGGTGAAGAACTTGAACAAACAGGTTTTGCAAAACCTTTGTGTCTTGGCGGCTGCTAATGCCACCAAAGGGGAAAATGCTGCAATCAAGCAACTCTCCCCTGGAATCCGTCCAGACGCAGATCAGCCAGCGCCAGTCCTCAGTCCAACCATAAGAACAATGAAGATTTGCAGCCCTATTGTCATGCTCTGATCCATCATGCGAGGAACCTTTGCCGATCTCCGCAGCTCCTCCAGTACTTGAACTTTGTACATATATGCTACTGTTATCTTCAATAGAAGATTTTGAGCTTGAACATTCTGGCATGTTGTTGTAAAGCACAGCAGGAAAAATGGCATGCTCAACTGACCCGGGTTCCGCCAATACAAAAAGTGGCTCAAAAACATATCTTGGATCATCTTGAAGACATAGCTCCACAGACCTATGAGGATCAGAGCTTAGTCCTCCAATCCTTGTCTGCCATGAATTATCCCAGGGAACTGGCCTCAAAGATGAATCAAGCTCAGCCTCTCTAGTAAGAGCTGGTCCAGATATGCGAGGAGCAAGACAATCCTTCCAGATGCCTGGAATAGGAGACGTTACATGCATCAACGTTGATTGAGGTCTACCCGAGATAGCTGATGACTGAAAAATGTCAGCACCTGAAGCAGTCCTTGGGATTCTTCGAATTTTGTTGTATACAGTGAATGCAATCTCTTTAAAAATTCCAAGCTCTTTGGAAGGCCTGTTTAATCTTAGTAAGCAATCCACTGTTACGATCTGCAGGACTAGTTTGGGAATACGAAACCCTGAAAGCATCACAACATTTGAAGCTGATGCTTCATCCACTGCAGCAGAGGAAATAAGAGACTTGGCAACCTGGTTGTACAGCAAAGACTGCCTGTCCTTGTCTGGCGCTAGAACGCCAGAACCCAAAGCAGCAGAGCACTCGATCACTGTCTGCAAAACTGCTGTGGGCTCAGGGAAGGGGCACACAACATACACAACCTGACAGTTCAAAAAGAACATCAAATAAAAACATGGCGGTATACGTTTTACAATTATTGACATATGAATACTTATGTAAGGGTAACTGGTATTTCACTAGGATGATCTAATGTAAACTTAAAAGATGCTGAAACAGAAATAGCCCAAAAAGAAAGAGTATAATTTAACATACTAGGTCAGGATTATATGATTAGGAAGATCATGGTCAATAATTAACTAAGAAAAATTAATTAAAAAAAACAAAAGATTTATGTGCGATATTAAGCAAAATATTCTTGCTACATAATTAAATTTGGCAAGATGCATGCATCAACAGAGTATGACTTATCGTATTGGACAAGAGGATGCAATGACCCAAAGAAACATTTATGTAGTTGAGAGGAATTATTAAGAACATTAATGGCTAATAAAAAATTCTGAAAGAATGACCTAAGATTTAAGCTAGCCATCCAGATCAAATAGACTTAAAATGAAAAACTAGGAAAAATATTCAATTAATTAATAAATTTGTCTTAACAGAAAGAATTATGTAGTCAGGTGGGTTCCCATAATGCAATTTCCGGTTACAAGAAAATTGTTGTACAATATGTGCTAAACAATTCTTATACATGATAAAATATAATACTTTAATTATATAATATATATACCCATAATATAAAGGAGGCAATTAGCGATCAGGAGAATCGCTGAATGCGAGATTAAACTAGCAAGGTGAGAAAGGTCCAGGGAGAGAGTACGGCTAGGAAAAGCAACTCCAGGAGGCATTAGGCGAGACAAGAAAGCGATCAAGCAAGGAAGCGGAGCATGAGTGGAGGGTGAGCATCTAAGAGCAACATTGCGTACTATCATCTGAAAATATCAGAGGGAACACCAAGATAGAAATACAAAATCGTACCATACAAGGACCAACATTGCGCTCCTTATGATTTGGTGATGGATTTGCAGCAAGTTTCAGACCCTTTAGAACCTTCTTAACAGAGTTGAGATAACCCTTCACATTCCAACACTTGGAAAGAGCAACAAAATAATCAGTTATTGAACTAATAGATAACATGTTACTGCTTGCAACCTTTAGCTCTTGTGGGCAATTAACAAGCAAAAGACCAGAGGAAGAAAGTTTTCCAGATGAAGATTCCATTAAGCCTCCATTGATTTGAAGAGTATGAGAACCAAGCTTGCATGCCTCATAAACTGCAGTAGCACGAAAGCGTAACTGAGAAAACAATAAGACGTTCAAGTACAAAAGAAACCAAATTTTCTTTTAATAAATCAGATGCAACTAGCATAGGATTAGAACTTTTTCACAAATTTTAGAAGTTGCAGACAAACAAAACTTTAAAGTTCTAAGCCACACAAGCATGTTAGACATTATGGGTGCATAATGTTCAAACAATAATTTAACACAGAACATAAGACAGAATAGAAAAACAATTAACATTTTCCATTCAAAACAAATATATTTATTAAAATTCGAATGAATAGAATTGAGCAACTAACAAAAGGTTCAGAAGGATACATAGATCAGGTATGCAGCACAAGCATTAGCAACAATAAACTTTTTGCAGGCTCAAAAAATTTGCATCCAACATTGATAAGAGACTTTGGCTTTCCTAATTAAATTTTCATAAGATAGACTAGATTACAAACAAAACTCTACTTAGATATTTTGCCTTAATTTTACAAAGACTTTGAAATCTGATTCTCCATTCACTATAGCCACAAGCCCAAATGATTATTTATCACTCCTAGTGACAAGGGAGAAGTTTTGATTATGATAAGGGGTGTCAAAATGGGTATTTGGGTCGGGATTGGGTCGAACCCATAATTGACCAGGGTCCAATTCAGCTAACCCGATTTTGCAAACGGGTTAGAAATTCAGGCCCGAACCTGACCCGTTGTGTTACCGAGTTGACCCAACCTGACCTATGAACCCCAAACAAAGCAGGCGCAATGAGTTCGGCCAATGGGGGCGGCGGCGAGCAAAGGTGGCGCTAGCGTGCGACACGGCCTACGTGGGTGCAGACGGTAGCATGAGGATGGGCGCGGTCGAGCGGGTCTAGGTGCGAACGCGAGCGCGAGAGGGCAAGTAGCGAGTGTGGCCTGCGCGGAGGGAGCTCTACGTGCTCAAAAATCAAGCGGGATTTGAGTTATTTTGGGTTTTCGGGTCAACTCAAACTCGATCCAGTTTTAAAAACGGGTCAGAAATTGAAATCAGAACCCGACTCGTCTGACAAACAGGTTGACCTGAACCCAAAATTTTTCAAGTGGGTTCGAGTTTCAGGTCAGGTCAAATATTGACACCCCTAATTATGATTAGTCATTAGATGTTAAATGTTGAGTATATAACAACAATAAATTTGGCTTATGCTCTAAAAATTTACCTTTTTCATACATGAAGCGATTGGTAGGGAGGAATAATGGCAAACCCGATCGAGATCAGATGATTTCATCGTTTCAGGTTGTCTGGACCTTAGTATACTTAGTCAGCAAAGATAATCAACCCAACCTGATCAAAAGATCCTTACCATCAACTATATGTTGTGTCTTCCAAGAGGACCTTGTAGATATATGTTGGATGTCTAAGTAGTTAAATTTAATTCAACCTTAACTAATAGATATTTTGCGCCCTATCAACTGCATTTAATGTTCGCGGGTTGATTTTTTTAAGCCATTGGGGCATATATAGGCTCTACTTGTGACCATAATTTAATAGTGAACATTTTATGGCAAGGCCGCTCGGTCAGAGCCTCGATCATAACTTTTTATCTATGATGTCCTTTGGCAACAAAATCAACAGCTAAATGATACACGTTATGCCCATAATGGTGAGAGATCATTGATATGAACATAGTGATATGTTTGATAAGACATTGCTTTTGATATGCTGAAGTTATTATTAAACTCATCACTCCCACCAAACTATCATGGAGAATAGATGGATTGACAAGTTTTGCTTGTACTTTTTTATATTTTGCAATTTTTTTACGTTTCTTGTATTTATTTAAAAATTAGGTCTCGTAATAATATGCCTTGAGGTTTGGGGCATTTTCAAATAAAGACCCCTCTAGTTGATATTTAGTTCCAACATGACCATTTTCGATGTTTTGAATAATTTTCAATTTATTTATTTTATTTCTTTTGACCTTATGAACTCTGCCACCTTGCTTGTAAAGGATCAGGTCTATGATTAATACTTATAGTTGCATTTTGTAAATATGACTGCATGGGTTTGTATTTTAAAGATGAATTTACTTTGGCTAAAGGCATTGGAGTCCTTATGTAAACATAAATCTAACGGCTCCAAAAATTCTCACCCCGGCCTCTTCGCGGCCCCTTTCTTTTTATGCGGGTCGTCGAGAAGAGTTTTAACAAGTATGTTTCGAGGCAAATTTTTAGAAGGTAGATTGGGTTTTGAATAAGACATTACCAAGATATTTCACCTTAATTTTGTGAGGACTTTATGATTTGAGTTTAGGTTTCCTATAAGCAGAAGCTCCTATAGTTAATTACCCCTTCCGATAGCCAGAATGAACTTTTGATTAAGGCTAGTCGTCAAATAGATACATAATATCCAGCATATAATAGCAGCATGATTAAGTATTTAAAATTTTGATATTTATAATAAAAAAATCTACCACCTTGCACTTAAAGTGAATGGTGGGAGGAAAGATGAACCCGATCAAAATCCCATAGTTCTTCATCCTCATAATCTCTAGTCTACTTAATCAGAGAAGGTAGTCGCCCCAACCTTACAGAAGGATCCTTATCGACGGCCATGGGTTCCTTCATCTAAGGGTACCTTGTAGACCTGCGGTGAACATTTGTCTAAAGGGACAAATTTGAATTCGCCTTAGCTAACAGAGTGATTTGTGCCCTATCGATCATATCCTACTAATTCATTGCTCAATGATTTAACGTTATTGGGGAACATACGGGCTCTGACCATGACCATAATTTAATGGTGTCATTTGATGGCAAAACCACCCGATCAGAGGGTCCTGGTCATAACCGTTTACCTGTGGTACCATTTGGCGACAAAATCATAGATTAGAGGGCACGTGTCACGTCCTTACTGGCAAGAGACAGATTGAGAATAAATCCTAATGATATTCTCGACTAGTTATTCGCTCTTTATGAGCTGAAGTGATTTTTAGATTTGTCCACATCGACAAATTATTTCAGAGGGTTGATGTGTATTTTGCTTTTAAGTATTTTGATGTTTTTATTTTAATTTTGGTGACTTTTAGGTTTTGAATTTTCATGGGAATTCGGGAGGCATTTTAAATGTTTGTGGTCCCCTCCGCTGAGATTTTCTGTCAACACGACCATCATTGGGGTATTTATGAGTAATTTCATTTTATCGGTTGAACCTTGTTGAGTCTGTCTACCTGCCGACAAACGAACGGGTTATTGTCGACTTTATCCTTATTAGTGAATCTTTCTTTGTAATAGACCTTGAAGGTCTAATATGAAAGTATAAAATAAATATCTCGGTTAATGCCGCAACTATATATTTGTTCGAAGTTCGAACTTGTTGACTCCTTTCTACTCACATAGAAGGATTTGACTCGAGCTTAAGTTCATTTCTTGACCAGTGCAACATCCTCAGACGTCATGTATGTGCATACATCACGCTCGTCGGGGCTCATATAAGTTTATATTTTTGTATGCATTTTGCAAGATGTGTTTGTATGATAGTTATATATACGCAATGCAATATGTGTATATGACACATCTGCATATTCACGCACATAATTATACTTTTATATGCATGTTAACCTAGTGACGCTTGTATTCGTATGTCTGCATGTATATGTGTATGTTAATAAATGCACTTGCATGTTGCTTGATATTTGACATGTTGGCTGTTGCACGTTAGCTTGACGTAGTAGTAGATGATTTGAATGCATTACATGTTTGCATAATGGTACAATGCTTTCATATAGTGCATGATATGTTTGCATGTCAGCATAACATACCACTGCTGCACAGTACATTTTACAAGTTATGTGGTGTACTTGTGTAATGCATTTTGTATGTTGTAGTATATATATGCATGATGAATTTTGCATGTTAATGCAATGTGTTGCCAGAGCGTGGTGCATTTTGTATGTCGGATGATGTATTTGTATGATGCCCCTGCATGTTGCAAATATATGCATGCTACGAACGTGTCGGTACGCATTTCAATTCATGAGGGGGGATGTTTTTGCAATGATCAGTTGTGCAGATGCCTATCATTGAGAAATGCACTGGGCTTCACTTGGAAATTTATAAATGTCTTATTTATGCTTGTATGAATATTGCGGATCCAGTGGTGTGGCGTCAAGAGTTGAATTTCATTTATCACGCATCGACAATGCATCTTAGATCATCTCGACTTCTGCATATTATATTTTTCTTCAGCTTAGCATGTAGGAATGAATTCAACTTGCAAACAAGTTGTACAACACATCAGGAGTCTTCCACTTGCCGTTGATAAGTAAGCAAATAAATATGGCGTGACGACCTGATGCCACAATTTTATTGTCTTAATTTATCTGAGTCTTGCAGTTTTTACTACAAGTTCCATGTTCTCCCTACAGGTGAGTTGTAGTGTGCCTATCTGTGTTGAGAGAGGACCCATCATCCTTACAATACACCTATTGTCACAGCTTGCATGTAGGGCTAATGTGTTTGTGCAACCCCTCGGTGTTTGCAGGGAATTCATTGCACTTGCACCAAGTCCACTGTCAACATTCGTAGATGGCTCAGTGTGTTCATTTGCATGATTAATCGTCGCTGCTTGTATGTTGATATTGATTACAAGATATTGTGCATTCATTGCGTATCCTACATATTTTACTCATAGATGTGCTACCTGTTGTAGTTGTCTTTGTTTGTTTGTGAGCATGATTGAAGGGAGTGTTTTGCATCAATAACCATGGTCGTGATTTGATCACCATATTCCCCTCAATTTTGATAATCATCGCTTGTTGATGTTTGCTCGTAAGCAGGTGGTGTTTGTTGTGTGTTCAGAAACAACGCCAAATGTATAGGGAATGGGTCAAATGGCAGAGGATTTGAGTAGGATTTTCGAGCACTTGACAGATGTACTTTATTTTATCTTTTTTTTTAACTTAATTGGAGGTCAACAAAATCATAAAATTTTGCCATTTTAGATTTGTTATGTAGACACTAGTCACGTGATTCAAGTCATCCATTTCAGTCCTTGTGAGGAGCTGACTTGAAATGTCGAACCTACGACCCTAACCTACAAGTAGAGTGACCCAATTTAGAACATTGTGCAACATATTGACAATTGTGATTTTAAAAAAGAATTTGCTGAATTTAAAAATGATTGCATAATTTTTTAGTGGTTGCATGATTCTCGAAGTAGGATGAACTTGTTTCATCTAATTGTCAACGCGTGCAACATTCTCGAACATTAAGATCGAGCATTTAGCATATTTTTTGGAACACATGAATAATATTGATTTTTAAAGATCTGATATAACACATGCTGTTCAAAGCATGTGCAAAGTGCACTTACATGTTTCACAATGCACTTGTAAACTTTTTGATGCACCTACAAGATGTTAAATGATCTATTTGCGCATTTTTAGGAGCAGTAGCATGCCACTAAAGGTAGTTTTACGCTTTGCAAGGCTATACATTTGAGTTTTAAAGTTACATTGACATGCGTGCACATGACAAATGCAAAGATTTATTATTTGTATGAATGCTTGGTCATTAGAGTACATATAGTGTTTCTTTTTTTTTTTAATTCTTAAAAATCTCTTCGATTTGTGTCCACTCGTGTACAAGTTGCACATCCGATGGCAATGAAGGTGAGTTGAAATATTTCACGTAATTTAAGATGTGATGATGTCATCTTCAAGTGTTTGCATTTTAATGTTATAGATCTGTGTTTTGTTATATAAATACAAGACCTCCCTCCCAAGTTCATTTCACCATTCAAAATTGTTTGATCTCTTTATGAAGTTCAAGCATTTTGAGAATAATAAAAAAGTTTTGTACTTGCATCTAAGCAAGATATAGTTTGTCGCAAGTTCTTGGAGTCATTTCAAGTTTAGTTTTATGTTCATTTCATTTTAATGTTATAATCTGATTTAATCAATTAGATTAATGATTTATTGGAAATTTAATTATTTATTGATTAATGGAATCTTTTAATGCACCAAATAAATGATCCATTTCATGACTTTTTCATTTATTTCAAGTTTTGGAGTATTTATATTTTTAATAAATATTAGACGCTAAGATGAAAAATGCCACTGAGTTTCTTAGATTTGAAATTTTCTACAATAAATTATGAATTTTCAAAGTTTGTGTATGTTTTCGAATTAAGGTTGACCATTTTATTTTTAATGAATTCTGGTGGTTTGATATTCTTCATAAATATTAGACCCAAGGAAAAACTCTAATGCCTTTGAGTATGCTCAATTTAGAATTCTCTATAATTAGTTATGAATTTTTTAAATTTGAGTATTTAATTGTTTAATTAGATAAAAAATAAAATTAATTGCTTACTTAGGGAGATTTTTTACTTTTGTACCAAACTGACTCCAAACCTCTTCAAATCCTACTAAAAGTGTCAGGAATGACCTGTAGGAGTGATTTCAAGTGTTTGAAATTTATCTGGTATTTTCATGATTTTTAATTACTTATTTTAATTAATTATTGAATTTTCCTAATTATTAAATTAAGGTCAACTTCGAAGTGTGCTGAAGGGGCTTTTAATTTTCTCAAATAGGTTATTAAATTGTGAACATTTTGAGGCCTTGTTTGTATTTTTCTGATTTAATTTATATTTATTACATTTTTTTAGTTTCATAACCCATAAAGGGGCTAATTTTTGTTTTATAATTTTCTAATCAAATGAAGTCAAAATTAAGTAAAATTAAAACCTCGGGTTTATGATGTCACTAAGTTCATTGTTTCAAAGTTTCATGCCTATTGGGTGTGTGTAGAATTTTCTAAGATTTTTTAAAGTTTTCTAGACAAATCCTTAATTATTTTTCTTAGGTGTCACTAGTATTCTAATGAGTCTAAAATTTGGTATGATTAACCCTTACACATACACAAGCACACCACAAAAAATTGAACATTAAATCCTACCTATTTGGAGAGTTCTGAATTTTCAAAGTTATAGATCGAAAATGAACCCATCACCTTAGAAATTCTAACCACAGGAATCTCGAGCATACTTTGATCTATGAAAATTATTAGGAGTGACTAACATGCTCGAAAAATTTTCACTAAAGTTTATGTCCAGTTTGACCACTGGATCATGAGAAAATTGACAAAAATTAATTTCAAGCATCACTGATTTTCTCACAATACACTGCTCAAAATTAAAAAAAAATAATAATAATTTTAAAAAATTCTTGGTATCAACCCTTTCCAACAAGTTCAAAATCACTCAATTTGGTGAAAAAATGGATTTCAAGTGATTTTGGGAGTTCTGAGCAATAAATCAAACTTTAAATTTATTTTATTTAAAATAAATGGCGGCGGCGCCACCGTTTTCAAAGCCTACAGGACAGCCACACGAAAACCGCGAAAGCGGTTTTAACTTAAACACGGGCGTCGTTCGATCCCCGTGAATCGGATCAATTGCTCTGATCGCCCCACATGTCCCATTTGCACACAAACTGGACGAGTTCGAACCCCGGCGCCGTCCGCAGTTCTGTTCTGAGCAACATGGCACTTTCTGGGTCATGTGATCGTGCCTGTCCGATTGCGCAGAAGGTGCAATTGGACTTCTCTGATCAAACCAGACCGAATTCAGTTCAATTTGAACTAGAAATTTCATTTGCTCATAACTTTCAAAATGCCTGACCAAAATTGATGAAATTTGAAAGATAAGCTCTAGACATCTTAATCCTTTAATGTTTAGAGTTAGGAGGCTCCATGCATTGTGAATTTTGGGTAGTTTCAAAATATATTTTAAATTTAAAATGCAAATAACTTACCAACTAGTGGGTAGATTTGTGAGTTCCTGGGCTCATTTTGCTCCTGGAGAGATCCTCTTCAACTTTGTAGAAACTTCCAAGGGATGATTCTGGCTGGATTGAAAAATGGCTCCAAATCTCCTCTTTCTCTCTCTATTTCTCTCTCTCTTCAACAATGGGGGTTTTGGGAGCTATGAATTAGTGGAGAAATGCTTGGGGAAGATGGAGGAATTGTTGGAGAAGCAGAGGGAAGAAACTTAGGGGCTGGAGGTGGCTGAGAGAGTTTTTTTTTTTTTAAAAGATGAGGGTTTTGGGGAGTCTTTATGTCACTTAGAGCCCTATGGTTTAAGTGGAGGGCTGAGATTGATTGGAGCCCTAGCTTGGATGATTGCCACCTGTCCAAGCTGGTTGAGAGCCAGAGAGATGGCAGCTTGAGAGATAGTGACTTGGTTGGGCACATGTGAGACGATGGGACCACTTCTTTCCCCTCTTGGTTAAACCAAGTCTTGGGCTTGGTCTAAAAGCTAGTTTATGAATGCTTTAGGGCAGATTTGAGCAGGTTTAGGCAGGAAAACCTGAAGGGAATGGATTGGTTAGCCAAAGCTTGACCAATTTTCATAGTTTTGAAAGGTTGTGTTGACTTGTTGCTAACTGGGTGAGTTGGTAAGGGGTCATGCATGCTGTAAGAAAAGAGTCCAAGGGGTTTGAGCCCAATGGTTGGAAGTTTGGATGGAGATTTGACTACATGCATAGATTTGACCCTTCATGTTGAATTGACAAAGTAAAACCAATGATGACTTGACCCATGAGAATGTTGGAATACATGCTTAGAATATCCAATGAAATGATTTTGAATGTTCAATTTGGTTTGATGATGCTTGGAGCATTGAATTTTCTATCAAGTGTATAGTTAATTTTGGTCAACCATGGTTGATTTGATCAATTAGGTCAAACAATGGGCTGAGGTTAGGTCTAACAAATTTAAAATGATATTTTGGATTCAATGGAAGAGGTCCTACGCAATGGTGAGGTCTCCTTGCATGAAATGCATGTTTGGGCCCTCATGGGAAAATTTTGGTTAACCATGCTTAACTTGTTCAACCAAGTCAAATCAGAACTTGAGTTTTGGTTCAATACACTCTAAATGATATTTAGAATGCATTGGAAGAGATTTAAAGGCTAGTTTGAATGAGCCACGCTGAGATTTAAGAGAAAATTGATTTTTCCTGAAGGAATTTGGGGTTTGGTGGGCCCATATTCAACTAGGGTCTACCAATTATTCAATTGTGTTTAATGTCATAAGGATGATTATGAACATGTTCAAAGATTTTGGACAATGTCCCAAGGTCAAATTCCACAAGGTGCATGGTCCAGTGGCATGGGTTATAAATTTTAAAGGCTTTGTAGCCTTTGGAAATAAACTCAGTTTTAGATGTTAGAGGACTCAGATTGGCCTCCAAATTGGAGTTTTGACTCTAGAAGCATGCCTAATCAATATACAACTGACGGATCATGAATCAGAGGTCATTTGGTTTAATTTTGAGGTTATTGAAAAAACAATCAAAAAAATTATGGGACAGTAAGTTTTGGCCTTGATTTTTTTGTTTAAGATTTTGGATTTTATCATTCATGCAAGAATGAGGTCAACATGCACAAAGCCCTCTCTATTAGCTAAGATTGAGTTGAATTTGTCCCTTGGACAAACACCACCACAGGCCTACAAGGTATCCTTATACAAAGCAACGCATGGCTTCCATGAAATTATATCATTAATAAAATAAAAAACAGTGGTATAAGCTTACAGCCAAATAAATAGTCAAAAATGCATCTTAATTTTCTGTTTGAGTGTCTTCTACAAGAGCTCCATATCCCTAATGCAAAATGCGGTGAATAATAAGTTTGTATTTTAGATCAAATTGATCAGGCAATTTTCCAAAAGTGCTTGGAAAATTAGCAAGCAGTTCTTGTTTAGGTTTATGAAATGACTAAAGATGGCACATCCAATGCTTATACGCAGAATATAGTGTTACAGTTTATCAATAAAGTATTTGAAAATTTCAACGGGTGCAGGTGAGCTTTATTTAAAAAAAAAAAAAAGAAAAGAAAAGAAAAAAACTAGATTGGCTGATCATTTATGAATGTAATAACCAAAGATTGGACTAACCCGTTCCTAACTGCTGGAAAAAATCAGTACCAGCAGATGTTAGGAGATCAATATCAGGACATAGAGCAAAATAGGAAACCTGCAAAAGTTATACGCAAACATCAACAACATTACACAATTAGCCACTTCAAGGAAATTCCTGTAGGAACAATATTTTCAACTAAAAGTAATGAGAAAAAGCTCAATTAATCCCTCCATTATTAGTAAGTGCGTGCTCAATTTAATCACAGCTTCTCACCGCTCCAATTAAGTCCCTCAACTACTAAAAATTGATCCAATTTGATCCCATGACCAAAAATAATCATTGAAGTTAATAGCAAAATTAAATGTGATGATATTTTAGTCAGTGCAGGTGTATAGGAGGATACATTTCTTAGTTGCTCTATTTTGTCATTAAATGAATTATAACAAATACAAAAAATTGAATGAAAGTAAACGTACTAAGGGCTATTTAGTTTGTTGAAAAAGGAATGCATGAATTTTGAAATTTGGGTGTTTGATTTGATGAAAAAGGAATCTAGTGTTTCACTCCCTAGTTCATTTTTGATGTATTATAAACTCACTCAATTTTGATAAAATTCCTTTTTCACAAGCTAACTATGTCGTCACTAACCATCGTGCAACCGCTAGCCACTGCCAACAGCCAGCACCATAATTTTAATTTACATTGCATTCATTTTAATTCAAGCTAAAAAAATCAATTGCATTCTTTTTACACTTATCCAAATAACTTCAAACAATTCAAAGACACTATATTCCTTTTACACTACATTCATTATTCAACAAACAAAATAGCCCCTAAATGATAAGGTTGAATAAGTAGTAAAACAAATATTTGAAATGAGTATCAAGTTAGTAAGTTATCAACACAAAAATTATACGGGTAATTATTATTACCTACTGAGAGATTTCTCAATTGAATTATTAGATTTGTACTAGAATGCCCTTCCAAATACTGTAGCATTAGAGTAGCAAATTGGATTAATTTTTGGTAGTTGAGGAACTATATTATGGCAAATGAAGCTCTAGGATTAAATTAGGCGCACTTAGTAATAATCAAGAAACTACTTCGACTTTTTCTTGTAAAACAATTAAAACAAGAATTAAACCTGGAAACATGCAAAAGCTAATTTCTAGAACTTACAGGTTTAGGTGAGGCATAAGGCTCCAGAGGAGCCTTCTCCCAAAGTTGAAGACAATTAACAGACGTTTTCAACCAATCATCCTGGTAACTAAAATATCAAAATTAAAGCCATCAATAGTGCATATCTTTCCTGTTTTTTTTGTTTTTTTTTCATATTGGGGTGCATCAGTTCCATTAGGAATACATACCCAACAAGTAAAGCCGGCAACGAGAGAGCTGCTAGAGTGGGTTTGAATCTAGAAGAAAATTTCTGAGCATCCGACTCTGAGCCGCAGATATCTTGATTTGACCTTCTTTGAGTAGAATCATCAATTCTAACACCATCTGTCACATTCTCGCCTCAGGATAAAATACTAATGTTTAAAAAACTGTAGTTAGTACAGGTCAAAAAAATACCTCTAATGCAGGAAGAGACACAGCCTGATTGCGGTGGGCTTATTGGCTCTCCTCCCAAAGACACCGTGCTTAGAGGATCTTTAACCTCACCAATGGTATATTGAAAAGGATGACCATCTCCACTTGCTCCTGAATCACCTAATTGGTGACGACCCCTGCACCATTCAGTCAAGGAAAGAGGGCCTTCTGAACTAGGAAAAGCAGATTTCAATCCTAATTTGATGTCCGACTGCAGCAAACTGATTACATTTGAAACTTGAACCTGAAACAAAAAAAAGATTTAATTTAACCACAGGAAGTAAATACAATGAATAAAACAAGTTTCTTACGGAATGGAACAGATAAGTCAGCATTAAGATGAGTTCGGTGATAAAAAAAGTCTTCAAAGAAATTAATAGAACACAACTGAGAATAATCATTCAAATAAAAACAGAAAGAGAATAGATGGTTAATGCATTTACTATTTAGAGCATCACATTTAGGTAGGATATTATTAGACAGAAGCTATGCAGAGAAAAGGGTTGAATAAGGTAAATGATACATAATGATAATGTTTACTGTAAACCGCAAAATCGGCTACCACTCACCCAAACGACACTCACGCACGATCTTATAACAGTTGATCATGTAACTTATTCTCATGGCAATAAAATTCATGCAAAACTGCTCCCTCCCTCCATTTGACACACAGACACAGAACACTGGATCTCCTGCACACGGAAGTTGCACCAGCCGAAGACCTAAACTGCTTCTGTCTCCTTCCGCCAACCCAACTCTTGCCTCCGTGCTCTACGCCCAACTCGCGACTAGGTGCGCACGCCTTGCTCATGCGACCGACCCTGTCATCCTGATCTGCCTCCGTCTGCACAAAGGAACCCGAACACCCAGTTCAATCCCGCACGGTCGAACTGCCGGCCCTGCCCGACCCCATTGTTCGCACGCAGAAATCCGACCCCGTTGGCACGATCCCTTGACTCCTATGCACTCGCTTAACCACTTCGATCCCGGACGCAAGAAGCCCCAGTCCATCTTCCCGTGAAAAGACTAGAAATGTTCAATATGAAAAGGCTAGAAAGGTAAAGAGGTAGACAAAAGTTGACAGAAAAGGGGAAAAATAATCTTGAATTACCTCCCTACAACTATAAACATGAATCATGGTAAGAAAATTATGAATACAGCCAACCTAAATAAATGGATATTGATGCGGACATCCAACCATCCATGGCTATCCGAGGAGCTGAAGATCAACGGCTGTCATCGTCCCACGTTATCTTATATTTTTATTTGTAATTTTTAAATTTTTATTATGAATTTTCCGTTTTTACCCTCACTTAAGAGGGTCGTCCTATGTAAGCCTTAAGGGCATATGTGTCTTGTTTTAGTTTCTTAGGCCTATATATAGAGACCCTTTCTTATGTAATGGGATGATGAATTGTTAATGAAATTTTATTCTACTTGTTTAATCTCTTATTCAGTTCATGAGAGGAGAAGGATCTCTTTGTGAGTTCCGAGATTCCCAAGATCTCTTTGTGAGTTCTTGAGGAAGTGGAAGGATCTCTTTGTGAGTTCCGAGATTCCCAAGATCTCTTTGTGAGTTCTTGAGGAAGTGGCGCTTGTAGATCTGTTTGTGAGTTCTATTGGAGGTGTTGCTCGAGGTGTGTAGCTCCGGATTTTCTTTTTCCTAAACCCAATTTATTTCTTCTCTACCTAACCAAACTCTCTTCCTCCCAAATCCCCTCCACCGGCCCCCATAAGTCCACCGCCGGCCATCCCAAGCCAATCCCACCACCGGCGGCTCCGCCGACCTCCATGGGACGACCAAGCCACCGGCCTCCCTCTTGGGAATTTCAAATTTGAAATTCAAATTTGTTTCCAAGAGGCATTGAAGACTTTCCTAAAATAATTCCTTGATTTAAGGCTTTCATATTAATTGGATGTTAATTTGAATTTGAAATTCCAATTAATTCTAATTGATAGCCCCATTATTGGAAATTTTCCTTTCTTTCAAAATCTGAATTTTAATTCAAATTTTATTGAATCTTTTATTAGTATTGTGGGCCCCACTCTACTTATGACAAATAATCTCCTCCCTCTCTCTATGTGGCCGGCCCCCTCATTGGGCATAATCTCTCTCCTATCTCATTAATTGCCCCCTCATTAAGCCTCCATAATTACCTCCCACAATTCCCTCTCATCCAATTTAATTTTCACAATTAAATTTGAATTTAAATTCAAATTCATCCCGCCAATTCCACTTAATCTGAAATTTAATTTCAGATTTCCAATCTCTTTTCCCAAATTGATTTGGGATTTAATTAATCTTGCCACCTAGGCAAGTACATGGCATTTACGTTTCACATCAGATATGAATAGAAAATGATACGCTGGAGAAACGTAGATTAAGAAAAAAAGCAGTAAGCATTTAGATCAAGGGCACAAAAAGGGTGAAAAAACTGTGCAATGAGAAAGGGATTTTTAACAGAACAGAAGAATATTTTACAGAAGCTACAAATTATTACATGAAAGAATATGTGCTGGGAAAAAAATAAAATACTTAAACAGGGCAGTGACAAGAGAAATGAACATGCAATAAGCAGAAAAAAAAATCATTGCAAAACTTACATTAGCTGACAGCGGATCTATCAACTCAATACCAGCAATGTCGACATAGTGGCATGAAGCAAAGATTCCACCACATCCAGCATGAACCATAGAGGGACCGCAGGAAAATCCTCGCCTCTGCTGCTCCTCTAATGCAAGCCAAGAATAGGAGCCATCAACATCATCCATATCAAGAGAAACATCAACAAGAGAAGCAGATTGTTGAACAAGTAGGCCAATTGCATCAAGAAGTTCCTGAAGAGGTTGCCTTTGCCCACGAAAACCAAAGGTTTCTTCATTTGACAAATTATGAGGCAAAGATGGCGAATTTTGAGGAAGACATGTATTAGAAGGCTTTGTCCCTTTGGGGACACCAACGGGACGCCAAACACCAACTGATGAAGTTAAAGGCGCATCCAGCATTCCAATATGAACATCACCTGCAATTCTGACAGGTAGCATATCTTTCTTCTTTGCTTCATGCTTGTTGGGAATCACATCAGGCAAGCTGTTAGTGTCATATGAAATCAGATCAAGCATAGCATCCCCAGTCAGTTTATTCAAACCAATAGGACGTCTGCTGTTAAAAGATAATAAAGTATGCCGAATCCTGCACATAGCAACCTGGAATATTATGCACTCAATTTCAGTTGCAAGCAGAGTCTCCAGGGAGAGAAGAAAATGACCTGCCTCAAATGTACTGTCATTGTTTATCTGTAAAGCAGAAGTTCCACTAGATGACTTCATTACCGAAAGAGATGATGGTTTTTGTCCTTTATGTGAAGGCATTACATCATTGAACAATTTACTGTCAATCTTCTTAGGCACGCCTTTCACAAGTGTGTATAATTTCCCAAGCTGACCAGAACTTACAGCATACAACCCAATACCAGGTTTTAATTTAGAAGATTTTTCAAAGCTTTCCTCCATATCGGACACAGAAGGAGAAGGTGGTGTTGCACCATAAACATGAGCACAAGAGGGCACGAGTGAGGTTTCAACCTTTTTAGAGCCTGGTAAGTATGGGTTTCTGAAAATTGAGATGCTGAACTCACTTGAACATATTTCAACTGCTGCATATTCTGGGGAAAATGTCAGCATGGCTTCTGCTTTCATCAAATTGTCAAACTTTCCGTTGGATGACTCCAAAGAATGAGTTATGGTAACAGATGACTTAGCATCCTTAGTACCATCAGTATCCTCCGAAAATGTTGAAGATGGTTGGTTGTAGTTTTCAAAAGATGTAAGACCCACAGCTGATATTCTCTGGTCTGGACTATCAATTCCAGCTGTACAAGGACTACCACTGATATCTCCACAATCAACAGACGGAAATACAATGACTTGAGACTCGGCAGTTCCTGGAGGCTACGATATGACACACAAAAACTTAATCTTTTCTAGTTAAGAATCAGATATCACTCATTAAAGAATGAAACGTTAAAACACATCCATGATTGTAAAAAAAAAATTAAAGATACAATGAATCAACTCCATGACATAATAACTAAAATAGTACTGCTAACATATATATATATATATATATATAATTTGAAATTAGCCATGAATTATAAGGCATACCTCACCAAAATCAAGAACATCATTTTCAAAAAAGTCACCAAAATCTCCAAACTCTGCTAGAAGTGATTGGATGTCTATGCCAATTCCTCTGTCATCATCATCCCAATCCCAACTGGAACCTACTTGAACATTTGCCGAACCACCAATAGCAGAATTATTTGCATCAACGACACTAAACTCAGATTTGGCTGCATTTTGAGCAGTCACACTTGCAACTGTAGCTGCTTGACCAAATACATCAGTCACACTGGAGCGAAGACGCTTAGAGACCTACATTAAAGAAGGCTTACCAGAATCAGCACTAATGAGCAAGTAATAAAATTATTTTACATTTCAAGATATATGATAAAACAGAAAACTAGAGCTATTCACCAAAAGAGATGAGAACTAGTTAAATCTACTGAAGAACTTTTCTGAAAGCAGTAATTATCTAACAACATGCCGTCCAAACTTTAAGATGTGAAATCCAAATATAAAGGGGAACTAATTCAATCCAAAAGAATGCATGAGTGCTGCATGAACAACTAGGCAGATTTTCAGTCTGGCAGCTAGCTAAGAAGTGCTGTCCATTCACTCCATTGACGATACTAAGGGAAAAAAAATCACCAATTAGATGGCATAATGCTATATTAATATGGATGCAAGGTAAAGTGTAAACTCATAAAAAGCCATGACGTATTATTCCACCTTTAGCAAATCCAATCAAACACCCAACAGACATTCCTAGTAGTGTAAACTTAAAACAGTTTACGCCAAGGCGGAAGAGTCTTCATGTGCTTTGGATCAGACGCAGACGAAGCCGCTCGCAAGCTCGTGCGTGGAGTCAAACCGAGGCGGTGTCGTGCGGGTCGATTTCACGCGTGTAGAAGCAAACGGAGGTGTGAGTCCACGCGTGGGTTGCATGCGTGGACGGCACGGCTGGGGCTAGTCGCACGGGCAGTGATCGTGTGTGACGAATACACAGGCTGCGGGTTTTTCGCACGGGAGAAACGCACGCAGGTTAAAGGCATGCCGCAGGCTTTGGACGCATACGGAGGCGTCATGCGTGCGGGTCGAGAGTGAGCGGGCTGGAGGCGGACATCGGATGCAATTCACGTGAGGCAGTCAGTCAGCGAATGGCGGTCTGCATGCGCGAGTTGGAGTGGAGAGGGTAGGCGAGTGGTTTGTGTTAACTAACTGAGGCAGCGAACGTTTTTTTTTTTTTTTTTTTTTTTGGTAACAAGGCATCTACCCGCTTCCACCCCCATAGTAGGTGTTTGGCAGCATAACTAATCCCTCATCGAGTCTACCAGCAACCAACCCTACAGGTGCCCACTTAAGGGGTTGCGCCGCATGAGAGGGGAATCAAACATGGGTTAGGGGTTCCCAACCATGCTCGCCCACCAACCCAGCTAAGCCCGGCAGGGTTCAGTGATCGGCTTTCTTACCGCAACTTTCTAGTAAAAAGAGCTACTTTAAAAATAGTAAGATAATTGTCTCAAACGAAGACTAAGTTTCATTTTCCCTGTCTTTTAATCTATCTATTTGCCGAATTAGTGCATTATTTCATGGAGAAATGCATTTCTACAATTATTTTCTAAAATGATGCATCTGATCACTCAATATCTGAAACAATGCATCTTTTTCTTTCTCTACTTTTTTTTTAGATTATTTTTTATATATTTTTTGTATCAGTCAACAGTAACTAAAACTTAAATGCATTCATAACAACCAGTACAAGGATGACTAATCACTATGTCCCAACGAAACAAGAGGTATCATGAAAAAGCCTATGGAATACATATGCTATATCCAATCTCTAACAGCAAAAGTCCATAGGAAAATGGAACAGAACATTTAATTGAAACCATTTCCAGGAAATTCCAGAACAAGAAAGAAGTTTAAGTTACCATCTTCTTGCCATCGTTATCAAACTGATCATTAGAAGATAAACCAGACTGCCTAGAGGTTAAAGAATCAGCATCAGCTTCCAGGTCACCAGTTACAATACCAGCTGCATGATCGCTTCCGCTGGACGTGCTACCAGTGCTGCTGGTGCTGCTACAGCTACTATTATTACTACTGCTATTATGTTTTCGCTTCAGTCCAGTGCCACTGAAATCAATCCCGAATGCCTCTAAGAACTCACTGTTACACGTGATTCCATAAAACAAATTGAGAAGTCAAAGTTAACATCAATAATTAACAAGAATCCAGCAAAAAAAGAGAACAATGGAAATCCTACACAAAGCTATTAACAGATATCAAATAACAGGATGATTAGGTGAAATAAGCTGTTTGTTACAGATACATGAGCTAGAGAAAAACTCAAGCAATATAAACTTCCAATTCAAATGAATATGCCATCATTTACAATAGCAGAATAGTGCCTGCCGAACAATTAAACAAACTAAAGATATTAACAGCAAGATGATAGTCCGAAGTACCAACACTACATAACAAAATTTAAAAAAAAAATTTCCCTTCCATTTCAGACTTGATTTTTAAACATAATGCTTAAAATATGTCAGTAAAGTGATTCCGGAAACTTCCACCTGCAAGAAAGTATTAATTGCTTTCATGCAAAAAGCAGTAGAGACAAGGTACTTGTTAATTTATTCGCCATTAAAAAAATTGTTGAAGTAGATAAGTGATGTTGTTGTGCAAAATTAAGAAGTTCAAAAAATTCTGGGAATAGCAAGCTTTTTAGTCTTCCCACTTTTTCACTATCAAAATGAGTTTATTATGGAATTTATACTTTAAAATAACCTTCACATCTACTAGCTTAAAGACATCCCCCATATTTGCAATACATACAAAGTTCCCAAAGACATCCACCATATTTGCAATTCATACAAAGTTTCACAAAAAGACTTGAATAGAAGGATTATATTTTCCAAATCTTCAATGGAAATAAGTATAACAGATACAAAAGGACGCACTTCCCCAAATAAAATTTGCAAGGAAAAAAAATTTGCCATTGGCCTGCATTCTTATAAATGAAATATTAGCCCGTGTACATCTTCTACCGAAAGCTTTAAGTTTATCATTGTTCCTTTTATATATAAAAGTAAAGTTTTGCAAGAGATACATTCTAAAAGTGAGGAGAATTAATAGTCTAGACGTCCAGTGAGCATGAAATTTTTTTCCTATAAATTAGAAGCAGATAGAAAACCATGAGTTTTAATGATCTAACGATGACAGTTAACAAACTTTGCACATCATTTAGGGTTAAAAAAATGAAATATTCAATTTATTCTATGAAAAACATAAAGGCTTAGTTAGAATATTTCCCACAAAATATCCAAGCAAAGAATACAAATAAGAATCAATGAAATCTTAGCGATTATTCCCTTCAAATGTGCGCATCAAGTAATCATCTGTGCAGAATTTATTTATCAGTATTTATTAACTCATTTATTTTTGTGTTATTTGTTTAATTAAGAAAATGTCAGGGAGAATGATGGCTGAGGGATGTATTGTATTTCATATCATTATATTAGTACGCATGACTTCGCATAGTTTTTGTTTTTATTCAGTTTGAAGTAATTTCCCCAGTGGCTTACTCTAATTATAAAAAACATGAATGATGACTTTGAAAAGAAGAAAAATTATATTGGAATGCAGAGTGCGGGAAGAAGTATAGGCTGCTGTTTTTTTCCCATGGCGGTGGAAAATGGAGTTGTGGCTTGGTGTTTGTTGGATTTATCCTTTTGGATTTGTGTTTTTGTTGGTGTTTTTTGGCCTAGTGACTTTCATCAGCTGAGGGTGGCATGAGCATTTATGCAGAGTAGCTTGTGTTTTTGTTACAACAACTCCAGATTTCCATGGATTGCAGTGAAAGGTGTGCAGCATTTACACAAGGGATTTGCAGGTTTTTGTGATAAAGTTGGCTAAGCCTAAAATCATTAATATGTTTGGCTACTTGGTATTTAATTTAGACTGGGATTAGACTGGGATTAAGATGATCTATACAAACAAAGCTGCTAACCTAGGGGATAAGCAGCCTATAAAATAGTTGTTAAAAGGCATATAATTATAATTTTTGGCTTTAATTAAATCTCTATTCCCAGTTTTCAATCTTGTGTATGTTGGATGTGTAGTTCATTCAAGTGTGCTATAAATGTGATAATGAAACCTTTTTTCATTTTGCAATTTTCATTTCTTGTTCTTATGTTGTCTACATAATTGGATATTGGCTTGAAAAATTCTCTTGATTTTATTTAAATCTGGAACATCTACAATTCAATTTATGGAAATTCAATTACAACTGTTCGTTGATTTTGCATGGTACTAAATTCTTGCTAAATTTCTCCTATTATTTAAATTATTTGGATTATAATTATATTATTGTATTTTTCAACTTTCATTTAAAGAAAGAAAAAATTTTAGTTATTTTTTCAATTCAATCTATGAAATCCTCAACTTCCTTCGCATATAATCAAATTATGCGTTGGTATAAGTTTCATTTAAAAATTATGACCATGAATCATCCTACATCAAAGAAATTCATGAAAAAAAAAACCCCACATGCCCTGATCATGTAAGAAGATGATTATTAAGAAATTACTATCAATAGGTCGTGCATACAATTACCAACTAATATAAAACATGTGATAATTCTATGCAAATATATCTATTAGCCCAGGGGATAAGGAGTCAACATATAGTTGTTTTAAAAAAAATAATTACAACTACGGGCTTGAATAAAATTTCTCTTTTCATTTTCAATCTTTTAAGTACAAGTTGGAAGATTGATTTCTTCAAGTGCGGTACAATTATAACAACTGTATTCATCTCCTTGCATTGGCAAGGACCAAATTTTTTTCTTGTTATGGTGCTTTCATTTATTGTTCTTGCTTTATCTAATAATTTGACATTGCATTGATTAGTGCTCTTGAATTTGTTCAAATTTGGCAAATCAAAATTTCAAATTGTAAAATTAAATTACAATTGCTAATTGATTTCTTGCATTATTAAATTCTAATTGAATTTCTCATATTATTTCAACCATTTCGTTATCATTTGGGTTTTAATTCTAGCATTGCATGTGTTTGAATTATTTGATGGCTAGTTATCTGCAAAGCTTTGACTTCCTTTGCATGTAACGATACTATGCAACATATTAGTTCTGCATAGTAGGAAACCCTAATCTTTGAGTCATCCAACACGAGAAAAATTCATGAAAAGAACCCCGATCATGTAAGAAGTTGTTTATTAACAAACTACTACTAATAGGACATGAAACTCAATAACTCACCAACGTAAAAACTGAGATGAAGATGGAAAATTCCAAAATGGCCACAACTCATGAAATGATGTTCCTGTCCAACTTTTCAGAAAGAACCTGTACAAAAAAAGGAATACAATGCAACAACCCTAAAAATAATATTAAAAAACTGACAATGAAAGAAAGGTACCTTTTCAGGGAGGATCTGGCAAATGCTCTGTGCAAAACAGGAACCAGCACAGACTCTGCAGGATAAATGAATGTCCTTTCAAGTATAGGAAAGGGATCAAATTGCTGGTTTTTGCCAGAAGAGGCCAAGCAGGGCTCTTCAGACTTGGGCGTGACAGAAGTTATTTCTTGGTTACGTTTTCTCTCCTGAGCATCTTTGTTGGATGTAGATGGACAACCAAGAGTGACTTCAACAAAACAATTTTGGCCCCTCAATTGATAGCCTGTGGACCGAGAGATAGAGGGTAAAACATGTGCGCTTTCATTATTGGCCTTCAGTTTGCTGAGATTATTTGCACGGCAGGGTAAAGGAAAATCAGCGACAAGTATTTATACAAACACGTTCCAAAAGGATAATGAAGAAGATCATTTAGAAGAACATGGTAATGATGTGTACCTGGTGTAGACCTGCTTAACAAGGTCAGTAGGACAACATCCAGTAAGCCTGCCTCTCATTCCATTGGGAGAAACAAAAACTGTAAAATAAACAAATATCATAGCAAAAAATGAAAGAAAAGGAACGTGGCCAAGATCAAGGCTAAGTCAGGAGGTCTCAACTGAAATTGCAACAAAAACACATTGAGTCCTTCATGAAGACCCTCATACTATTTACTTAAAGACTATTTTATGTCCCAATACCGTTATAACAAGAGAACCAAATAGAGGTGCATTTAAAAATGAAAAAGCCAATGGGACAAAACTGTACTAAAACCAAAACAAGTGCTGAGAGCAATTATGCGGAAGTTTCACATAATCTACGTTGCAGAGCATTCGTTGTAGCGGTAAAAAAAAAAGAAGAATTAACTTGGGTAGGAAAAAAGCACCGAACAACAAATAACATGGTTAATTGAGCAAAACGAATCACATAAACTAGGGTAACAATGTGTTACGCTCAACAGGAATCGAAGCTGAAAAAGGATTCATAAAGCCGAATCCAAATAGTTATCTGTTATCAGGATTTGGGTTCATAACAATATTGCTACGTTCCTTTAGAGTAGTAAAGCCAAAATAAGAGGGCTATCCTTAAAGTGTATAGTTACAATATTTGATAACAATAGCTTCAGACAGAACTAGAATTAGGTCCATTCTCACGAAGTTAAGGGTGGGTCGAGTAGATTTTGGATTAAGATATTGAGAGATTTTACAACTGTTCCTTTCTTGGCATGAAAATCTCATTCCTAATGCTAGGAAATCTTAAGAAGGCTCTCCAGGAAGCACTCGGCACAAATTTATTGCCATCCAGATCTATATCAGAGCACATGTTTCCATTTCAATTGATAAATTCAGCAATAATTTCTCTTCCAACACTACTGACGGCATCTGCATAAACGATGAGGACATAAGGCATCTACTAGTCCTATAGAATACTATTTTTCACCCCACTTTGCTCCTCCAGCATCAACTGTTTTCCTTCAATATGCTTCCTTAGCCCAGATCTGATCTTGTGCCATTCAACAGATTGCCCAGTTGCTTTTAGACCTATATCACTCACTATTTCCCTAGGAAAACACTAAATGCAGAGTAGAAGCAATTAGGATCAACTCGTTAATGACATTTAAATATGCATAAAAAGCACACATGAGATTTGATTAACATTTTATGAAATTAGAATAAATTATATGCTTCCGGATCATATTTCTAGTTTGTCCATCAATTAAGAGTTGACAAACTTGTATCGTTGCTAGTTAAACGTATTGTGCAAGCAAAACCAAACCAAAAGTGGAATCTACACATCATAATGTAAGAGCAAGAAAATTTAAATATTTGATAAAGATAAAAGAGACATCTTGAAGAAAACACTGTTTGGCATAGGAAGATATGTAATAAACTAGGCAGACAACAATGGCAAAGTACACTGACTGATGAAACATGGCAAAAAAGATGGTTTAACAATGTTATGGGGTATATTATGACAAAACACTCCAAAGTTTTAAAGCTTTCTATGAAAATGTAAAATCTTAGGGAGTTTGTCTAAGAGCCAAGTTTTCAGAATAATGCTGCACAAAAATCAAAGCATGCCACTAAAACAAATTGACCAATTAAAACAATGAATGCATACCTGGCAGCCCTTTCCTAACGGAATTTGAAGAAGAACGCTTTAACACTCTTTCTATGTCATCATCATTGAGGTTGCGAAGATGCCTAGAGACCATGTATACAGGTAAGAAAACTCTAAGAAAACCTTACTAACTCCTTAAGGTATCAAATAAAGCTTATTTTCACAAGAATAACGAACTTTGCAGATATAATCACATGTATATAAATTGCTTCTTCAGTTGCAGCAAAAATGAATTCACAAGTCGGATGAGCTTTCCTGAAAAAAAAAAAAAGGAAAACATTAAAACAATCCGTAAGATGGCATACAGAAAGAAGAAAAGGTCAAGATTCCATAGATTCCCCATGTACGCATTCCCAAAGCAAAAACGCATTGATATCTATCAAAATAAATAACATATTGAAGTACTTCATCTCATTTGTTCAACTGAAGATGAACAATACAACAGAAAAGGCAACCAAAAAAAAGATAATTTGAATATGAACTCAAAACAATAATATGTCCTACTCTGGACCAGGCATAACCACAACACCAACCAGCCCAATGTTTGCAGAGAAAAAGCAGTTCATAATATAAGAACTTCAGTGCTTCCAAGAATGACAGTTGATGTCTCTACTGGTTATAGACTAACACAGGCAAATAGGACTGTGTTAGAGGGGTAAGGTTCCAGATGTCAATACACACTTAAACATAGTAGACGTTTGAGCATGGAGTATGCATGCATCCTGCGAAAGAGATCTGCAGAGGACATAGCAAACTGATACGCCTTAGGTTTCACAAATTAGGGTTTGCCCTAATTTTCCTTCAAGATGAAATTTCTCCTCCAAATCCAAGAAAAAATCAACACAAGAGGGATGAGAGGAAGAACAAGAATATTTGAATTCAAAATCCAAGAGAAACAAGATACAATTTGTCCACTTCGAGAAGGACAAGGTCTCCCACTACAAACCCTAGAAAAACAAGAGAAAGAAACTAAGGAGGCTAAGAAAAAACTCAAATATTGCATAACCCTAGAAATCTCCCTCTATTCCTTACTTAAAGCAAGCCAAAAGACCAACAAAACCCACTAGTGGGCTGCCCAAAATGAACCGCCCAGCTCAGGGCAGACCCGAGCCAAACCGGTCCAGGATTGGACCGGTTCCGCTCAAGGCCGAACCGTCCCGCCGCTCCGTCGCGTCCCGCGGTCCCCTTCGGCTGGCCGACTGGCGCGGTATTCCCCCCCGCGGCTTTCGCTCGCCCGCAGGTGCCGTCCCTCCCTCTGCGACCGGGAGGCGGATCGCATCACAAACCTCTCATGCAAGTTGCTCACGATGAACAACAATGAACCAGCACCAATAGAATTACAAGCATGAACTTTAAAAATAAGGGATAATAACCCATTTAATTCACTACTGCCAAAAAAGACAAGCTTCACGACCCAAGGTCTGACTCTATCCATGAAGCCCAACTTTGGTTTGCATAAATACCATGGAATTGTGGGCAAACCAGCAATGGGGATGAGGACCCAAATAATCCACACTTTTCACTCAAGAGCAGCACTTGCACGTCCCAAGTTTTTTCTTTTCATTCATAAAATTGGTTACATGTGCCAACTTTGCATTGGTATCCAAGTAATGGAATTATGGAGCAAGCCAGACATGATCCACCTATGCCACTGTCATTTATTTTTATCCCATCATTCAAGTATTTAATTAGTTCGCAGAAAGAGCTCTTGAGACAAGCCAAAAAACTAGTATAAGATGTCAAATCTTACCATCACACGCTTAGTCCAGACCAATCACCATCAGAAAGAAATGATGTCTTTTCGTAACACTCAAAGTTTGCTTTTTAATTGAAAAGCAACTGCAAACCTCTTAAGAAATTGTTTGGGAATGCTTACTGGACCCTGCTTATCAATCAGTATGATTGCTGGGAAAACTACTTTTACAAGTAATTAGGTTATATGCTTAGGGTTGTTTTGGATAACTTTTTATTTTTATTTTTTAAAAACATTGTTTGATTTGTGTTTTTTAGCCGTTTTTATCTGTGTTCTTAAAAATACATCATGTTATTATTTGAAAATAGTTAAAACAACTTTTAGAATATATAGATTTCTTTTTTTAAATAAAAACTATCCTAGACACGCTCACCTACACAGGCCACAACACTGCCACCACCAGCCAGCATCTTTGCCCTCCATCACCGTCTTATGAGATTTTCAATGAAAACAAAATAATACTTAGAATATCAAATATATTATCGTTTCATTAAAAAAAAAAAAAAAA